AGTGGCACAGATTTAGTTGGCCACTCTCGAGCCATTTTTAGAATCCTTTTTACTGGAGATTTGTTCAGAAAATAAAACAATCCGAACGGAGTCAAAATTCAGTTAATTTTCTCTCTCCTTTTTGTTACGCATTTTTTTCCAAACACCCAATGTTGAAGATCGGTGTATATCATTGTAGAGGAGCCAACCTATCAACAAACAAGTTGAATAGCTCAAGTGGTTAGAGATTTGACCTAACATCACAAAGGTCTCAGGTTCGAGTAGAAGAAAATGTGAAGTTTAAAAACACACACATCGTGGGGCCGACGCCGTGATGATGGGCGTCAAGTTATCGTTGAGCGAGTGATCAGGGAGACAATGACTGTCGTCATTCAGTATCCGATATTGACAAAGTCCAATTATAACGAATGGATCTTGTTGATGCGCGTCAACCTACAGGCGCAAGGGTTATGGCATGCTGTTGAGCCAGAGGAAGGAGAAACAATTGAGTACCGTGAGGATCGGTTGGCGTTTGCCGCCATATTACGATTTGTACCCCCAGAGATGCTGGCATCTCTCTCCATCAAGCGCACTGCGCAATCGGCCTGGGAGGGATTCAAATCCCGTCGGGTCGGTGTACAGCGAGTGCGGGAATCCAACATCGAGCAGTTGCGGAAGGAGCTCTCGAAGATCCACTTTAAGGACTGTGAGAATCCGTCGATGATTTTTCAATGCGGATCATGGGGCTCGCCAACAACATCACCACACTCGGTGGCCAGCATCAGCGAGACAGAAATCGTGAAGAAGATGCTGCAGGTTGTCCCTGATCACCTCGAGCAAGTGAAACGGGGGGTCGTCTACTCCTCACTTTTCGCTTGCACGTCTAAAGCTCCGTGACAACACCGACGAGAGCAACGGGTCCTCCTCTAGCTGCAAAGACGGTATAAGCCATGGATCTCCCACGGGCGCATGCGCGGGAAAGATGGGAATCAAAAGAAGGAGTCGACCAATGGAAGGCCAATCTCTCGAACTGTGGGAAGAGAGGACACCTAAGCAGGAATTGCTGGAGCAAGCTTAGGAACAAGGAGAAGGCCGAAAAGGCCCATGTGGCTCAATCCGAAGAGGACGAGCCAGCTCTCTTCATGGTAAGTGCATGTGTCCCCATTGTCGATTCCAAATCCACGGAAATGGAGGTAATCAACAACGATGTTGAACTCGAGAAAGAGCTCCAGCTGGGCGTAGCAAAGGTGGCACCAGCTAGGGAGCCAATTCAACTGAAGGAGGAGCGAGTGTTCGCTCAGATCAGCGAGCGGGACGAGCAACACAAGGAGTTAGTGCACGGTTTGCCAGCAATCAAAGGCGTGAACAAGCTGTGCGACGGGTGCCTCATCGGCAAACAGAGGCGCACACCCTTTCCGTCTCGAACATCCTATCGAGCCGATGAGCCGTTGGAGCTTGTACACGGCGATATCTGCGGGCCCATCAAGCCGGCGACCCCAGGCGGTAAGAGTCTCTTCCTCCTGTTAGTCGATGACAAAAGCCGCTTCATGTGGCTGACCCTGCTGCAAGCGAAAAGTGAGGCGGTTAAGTGCATTAAAGCGCGATCGGAGGCCGAATGTGAGAAGAAGATGCGAGTGCTGCGCACAGACCGAGGCGGAGAATTCACCTCGACAAGTTTCGGTAAGTACTGTGACGAAATCGGCATACAACGGCACCTAACGGCGCCCTACTCCCCCCAACAGAACGGAGTGGTGGAGCGCCGGAATCAGACCATCGTTGGGACAGCAAGGTCATTGTTGGTGACGGCCAGGATGCCTGGGAGATTCTGGGGAGAGGCAGTAATGACGGCCGTATATCTCCTCAATCGGTCACCAACCCGAAGCCTTGACGGGAAGACACCATATGAGGCCTGGTACAACAAAAAACCAGCGGTACATCATTTTCGCGTGTTCGGCTGCGTCGCTTACATGAAGGTAACACGTCCCCACCTCGCCAAGCTCGATCCTAGGGGGCTGAAGGTCGTTTTTATCGGCTATGAACCCGGGAGCAAGGCGTATAGACTATATGATCCTGTAGGGGGGCGAGCTCACGTGTCTCGCGACGTCGTCTTCGATGAAAGCACCTTCTGGCAGTGGAATGACGTGATCGAGGCAGACCATAATCCAAATCAATTTACGGTGAAGTACCTCGTCACAGAGCCGGAAGAAGGAGGAGCCCAGCATCAGCAGCCGTCACCGCCACCAGCAGGTGCAACCCCTGAACCAGTGGAATTCGCAACACCACGGACTGCGGATTCGACGCTGGATGCCGATCACGATACTGATCTGGAGGCCAGGTACCGGAGGATGGATGACCTAGTAGGAGGAGGTGAACCACCTGGACTGGCAGTGCGCGAGCTCGAAGAAGTGGCCGAACTACATGCCATCAGTGCAGATGAACCGAACACCTTCGCCGAAGCAGAAAAGAACCCGTGCTGGCTGAAGGCAATGCAGGAGGAGATGACATCCATCACCGAAAATCAGACGTGGAGTCTGGAGGATATGCCGCCGGGACACCAAGCCATAGGGCTCAAATGGGTCTTCAAACTGAAGCGCAATGAAAAAGGAGAAGTTGTGAAACACAAGGCCCGTCTGGTGGCGAAGAGCTACGTCCAGAAGCAAGGAGTGGACTTCGAAGAGGTATTTGCGCCAGTGGCAAGGTTAGAATCCGTTCGTTTCTTACTTGCAATTGCAGCACATTACTCTTGGGAGGTTCACCATATGGACGTAAAGTCTGCTTTCCTTAACGGAGAGCTGAAGGAGACTGTTTATGTCCGACAACCACCTGGCTTTCTAGATAACAACAACCCCAATAAAGTATTGCACCTGCACAAGGCACTCTACGGGCTTCGACAAGCTCCACGAGCCTGGAACGCGAAGCTCGACAGTACCTTACTGTCACTGAAATTCAAACGTTGCGCCTCTGAGCATGGCATGTACACGCACGGCCATGACAAGAAGCGACTAATCGTGGGAGTGTACGTCGACGACCTCATAATCACTGGAGGTGACATGGAAGTCCTCGGAAGGTTCAAGAAGGAGATGTCGAAAAACTTCGAGATGAGCGATCTCGGCGTGCTCAGCTACTATCTCGGCATCGAAGTGCAACAGAATTCTACCGGCATCTCCATCTGCCAAAGTGCATACGCAAAGAAGCTGCTGGACACAACTAGACTTGTGGACAGTAATCCTACAAGGACGCCAATGGAGGCCCGACTCCAACTAAGGAAGGCTGGCACTACGACGACAGTCGACTCCACCAATTACCGCAGCATTGTCGGGAGTCTGCGCTATCTGGTAAACTCTCGTCCTGATCTTGCTTATTCTGTTGGATATGTGAGCCGGTTTATGGAAGCACCTGGGGAGGAGCATTTAGTGGCTGTCAAGCGCATCCTGCGCTATGTAGCCGGAACCAGAGGCTGGGGTGTAAGATACTGCGCAGGGAGCGGAAAGGAGAAACTCAAGCTAGTTGGCTACAGTGATAGTGACATGGCCGGTGACGTTGATGATGGTAAGAGCACTAGCGGAATGATCTACTTTCTCTCAGGCGGCGCAATCAACAAAACAGAAGGTAGTTGCTTTGTTTTCCTGTGAAGCAGAATACATCGCCGCTTCGATGGCAGCAACACAAGGGATCTGGCTTGCGCGACTAATGGAAGAACTCATCGGGAGAGAAAGTGATCCACCAATGCTATACGTAGACAACAAAGCTACGATCTCCCTGATCAAAAATCCAGTTTTGCATGAACGAAGCAAGCACATAGAAATTAGATTCCACTACATTCGAGAATGTGCAGATCGAGGGCTCATCAAAATTGATTACATCCGAACAGAGGAACAACTTGGAGACATCTTCACCAAGTCCCTGGCGCGGGTGAAATTTGAAGAACTACGCTCAAAGATCGGAGTTCAAATAGTAAGGTAGATATACTACAGGTTTTAGGAGGAGATTGTTAGATAAAACCTGAGTTTTACCGTTTTTCTTATTCACACGATTTCAGAAAATCGTCAGTTTGACCATTTGACAAATCAGTAGCACAGATTTAGTTGGCCACTCTCGAGCCAAAATAAAACAATCGGAAGGCAGTCAAAATTCAGTTAATTTTTCTCTCTCCTTTTTGTTACGCATTTTTTTCCAAACACCCAATTTCCTCTCACCAAAATTATGTGAAAAACAACACATTCATTGTTTTTGTTAGTATTTCACAAATAATAATCATAAATCCAACTTGAAATTGTGAAATATGGCATTAAAACGACCTTATTTACTATAATTGAGGTTGAAAACAGGTCCGAGAGGGTTGGAACGTTGCAGTCTGGTCAAAAGGAGGATTCCCATGCCGAGAAGCCACGCCGGAGCCGAGGGGTTTTTTGCATCAGATTGTAAAACGTGGCGTAATAGGATCTGCCGCGTGTGCAGACTGAGTTTGGGTCAAGGCACGGGTCGCAGGCGGGTCGATCGCGGGTTGCAGACGGTTCGCAGGTTCTGGGCTGGGTTGGATATGGGTCGCGGGGGCTCAGTGTCAGTGGGCTACAGGAAACTCGGGCTGAAGGTAGTGGATAGGGTTGCAGAGGATTGGGTCGCGGGTTGTTTCGACCCGGATCCGAGTTCGTGGGTTTCGTCTCCCTCGCCCGTTTTTCCCGACGGTTCCTCTGTTTCTCTCTCTGCAAGCCGACGATGGTTGTGTTTCCCACCCTGGCGATTTCACCGATGTAGTTGGAGGCTCAACGACGCAGATCTGTGCCGTTTCGTCAGCCTCTGAACTTTTGGATCTCGCCGGTGTTTCTGTGTCTCTCTCTTTTGCAGGTCGCTGGAGTGTGGGTGGCGTTTGAGGAGGGGTTCGTGGTGATCCGTGGGCGTCGCGTGTGGGAACGAAGAAGGAAAGTTTCCCCCTAAAACTAAACATATTTATTAAAAAATTTGAGGTATTATCATAATGAATACAAAGTTCATCAATGCCAAGAAAAAAACAATAGAATTAAAAAAAAAAAAAAGACATTATACATATGAATTATACACATGTGTTTCCACCCATATCTATGAATATATACCACAAATTCCCCTCTTTTTTGGGTAAAAAAAAATCAGTACAACTCTTCTTATATGGTTACAAGACACCATTTTCCCCTGTTTTACAAGCAAACCCTCTTCCTGTATTCTTCTTCTTTTTCCGGTTGGGCGTGGACGCTGCTGGGTCCTTGATTACACAGACCTGGCTGTTGCAGACGTATTGTTTGGTTTGTTCATGATCAGAGAAACAGCGGAAGAAGGTTGAGAAGAAAGGCATGTTATGGGGGAAAACGTGAGCTATGTGGTTGGGTTTCGTATGTATATTTCTGTGCAATGAAAACAATTTAAATTGGGAAGAACAAAGATTGAATTTGAGTATGTAAAAGCAAAGATGCTTACTTTCCAATTCTGTGTTCTTCCGCAATCCATTGTTTCTTGGGCCAACAAATAACGTGTTGGACCAGCTAACGCGAGGTATTTAATTTTATTTATTTTCTTTTATTTCTAATTTTATGTTTCTTTCTTTTATTTTCTTAATGTTATTAGATTAACCAAAGGATGAATCCACGAAGGTTCTGAGGAAAGCCCCAATTCTCAAATTAAGACTACAAAAGAATAAAATACTAAAAAAATAAATGGGTGGATGCCTATAAACTTTTAAGGGAGGTGGGTCAACAATATTTCATTCTCATTATGTCCTTAATGTGGCCACCCAATTTTTTCAATCACAGTTAACTACCTCCCAGTTATGACATTTCAAAATAAGACATTTCAAACTAATTCAATTGAAGTTTCTTTTTTAAATAAAATTGGAAATCTCTGAGAAAACATTTCAAATATTTTAAAATAAGAATAATAAATCCATGTAAAAACTATAATTAAAAAGTGGGTAACGACCCTAAATTTTCTGAGTGGTCATCGTCATCATAGCATAATCATTTCTATAAATAAATAAGTGTTTAAATTTCTACATAAAACATAAACTTCGTCTTAAAACATCGCTATAAACTTAGGTGTTTGGAGACATTTTTAAAACGACTCAACAATAAACTAAATGAAATAAATAAATTTTAAATTAAAAACATCCTATTAAGTCTAAGAAAGTAGATACATTTATCCTATGCATGTGTCATGGGCTCCAGTTGTGATACCGTCATTAGTCATATAGGGATATCTTGCCTTTACCTGACATAGAAGTAGCACGTGACTTGAGTGTTTTAAGAAATACTCATTAAGTGACCCCCTTATTAGGGTTAAATACAAACACATACAATTCATGAGTGGGACTTATCATAAGAGTCTATTTTCCTACCATAGCTATCCTGATAAGCAACTTGGTTGTGTACTTAATTTCCCTAGACACAGTCCACATGTGCGAGTATGGACCCACCAGCCGGTTCGCACACCTCCTGAGCTCCTTTTTGGTTGAGCGATCATTCTCTAGTAGCTGTTGATGCCGGACACCCGTTAAGAATAGCGACCGCCACGGCATCATTATGACAAAACATAATGATCGTTCCCATGCCTCTTAGCGTACGCATCCATACAATCGTGAAGGATAAGGGGTATTGCCCGATGCATGAGCACACAATAATGCATGAGGCCCTAATTTTTTATTTTCATTATCATTTAATAAAACTTTGTAATAGCCAAAATAATAATAATAATAAACAATTAAATAAATAAAAAAAGAAAAAAGAAAAAAGAAGAATACTAAAAAAAACCATCTTTACCCACCTCTCTCCACTAACCCTTCCTCGTTTCCCCATTTATCCCTTCCCCATTATGTATATATTATGATATGTGCATCGTATGATAATACTTACGGTACAATGTGTTCAATGATATGTTTGAGATTGGATACGAGAAGGATGCATTAAACGTAAGGCAACGATAGAAGTAAAATATGTTCATGGAAAGTTAAGGTAAGGGTTTGTATCAAAGTTCCATGGATATGAGAGATAGATAAAAACGATATGGTCAGGATCGATTGATAAACGAATACAATTAGGTTATGGGTAGAAAGGGATAAGATTATGATAGATTGATAGAACAATAGGTTATGCCAAAATTATAACGATATGACTGTGATATGAATAAGAACGTTAAGGCTATGGTAAATTAGGAAACGATATAACCACGAAGTGTTTACGAAATGATATGATTATGATACGACATGTAATTGACAGATATATATATGATATGATATGATATGAAGTATATTATGATACGAGATATGTGATAAATTGACATGTATATGATATGATATATTGTGATGCGATTTGTTAGGGTATGAGATGTATATGAGGAGATGATATGTTAAAAACATGAAACGTTATGTTATGTCTCTTAAATTGTATCTATACAACATGATATGTATGACATGAAATCACTCTAAATGACATGAAATATAGCCCCGTTAGAGTTGTGTATGATATGAGAACTGAAAAATGAGAAATGATATGATATGGATGATAAACAACATGTGAAGTGATATAAAAGACGATATGATATGTACAGAACGCTAGCAGGGTTGTATTAAATGATAATAAAAATGGAAAAATATTGGGACCCCATGCATTATGTGTGCTTATGTATTGGGGGATACCCCTATTCCACCACGAGGGTACGGACGCGTACACCACTAGACAGGTGAAGTACCATTATGTTTTACATGCTGTGACGCTTACTAATCCTAATGGGTGTCTGGCATAAGGAGCTACCATAGCTGGTTTGCTCGACAAGAAAATGGGTCTAGCGGTATGCGAACTGTCTGGTGATCTCATGCTCGCACATATGAGCTGGGTGTAGAGTATGGTATACATCCAAGCTACCCATTAGGATAGTGTCGTAGGAAAAGAGACTGGTATGATAGATCCCGTCATTGCGTTCGCATGTTCTTGCATTTAACCCTCAATAGTGGGGTCACTTAGTGAGTATTTCTTTAAACACTCAAGCCACGTGATAGTTCTATTTCAGGTTAAGATAAGGCATCCTGTACAGTTGACGACGACATCGCAACTTGAGACCATGACACATGCACAGGGTAGTCATATTTATTTTCTCAGACTTATGCTAGAATATGATGTTTTTAATTTAAACGTTTATATATTTTATTTAGTCTTTTTTCTTGTTGTCTTTAAAGATGTTTCCGAAACACGTAAGTCCATGGTTGTGTTTTAAGATGAAGGTGACATTTTATGAAAGTTTAAATGAAGTATTTCCGCATTCAATGTTTATAATATGTATACAGTGGCAACCTTAAATTAAGTAGAAAATTTCATGTTATTACAACTCCGCTAGTGTCTTCCTTCATATCATATCCTTTGTAATATCATTTGTCATATCGTTTATCATATCTTTCATGCATATGTCGGGGTTGGATTTCATGCTAATTTGTTGTTTTGCATGTCAATCATATCATATCATTCATGTCGCACATGTATCATATCGTAACGTTTTTCATGCTTTCAGACATAACAATCCACATCATGCGCATATCATTCCACATATCATAACAATCACATAACATATTCCGAGCATGTCTTCAACATATCATATCATAAACATATTAATTCATCAAATACAACATAACAATCATATCTCACAATATATACATATCATTTTATAATAGTTTGCATATACGAGCATATGACATGTGAAGCCACATGCACGTGTCATCATACAACACACAATCATAATCAAACGACGATAGGGCCACTTACTTGGTTGACCTAACCCAAAGCTACTATGACTCCTTGATGCTAGCTTAAGATTGCTCTCTCAAATTTAATTCTGACTAAGGAGTTCAACATCATAAATTAGAATTGTACCATGGGAATTGGCTCATCTAGTTTTGCTTAAAATACTTTAAACTTACTCCAAATTATTTAAACTACTTCTAATTTTACATAAAATAATTTAAACTATTAAGCTTATGCATAAATATTCTAACTTACTTCAAAAATCTAAATAGCTAAAGATAGTCATACTAGCCTTATCCAAAGAATTGAAACCAGGAGGAAATGGTTCGAGCATATCATATCCAAGTCTGATAAACCAAAATACTAACCTTGAGCCCTCAGAAAGTGCATTCTACAACTGGATTCGGAATGTTAAGTGAGATGCTAAAATGAAGTGAGTAACCTCCCTCCCTGACAATCTTTTTTTTTTTTTACAAAATAAGTTTTCAACAACTCTCTAAAGCTTTCTTTTAAAATCTTGAATATTAACACACGTCCTACCAACGTTTAAAAGCGAAAAACTTTGTAAAGATCTTTATTCCATGGCCTCCACATCAGAAGTCATCAACCGTGCATCTATTCCTTATCTTCACCTAAAAACTGTTAATGAAAGGATGAAAACTAACTTTGTATGTGACTCCATTTTTGAGGTCGAAAAATGCATATACATGAAACACTATTTCTTTTTTTAGTAGGGTTGAATGCATAGAATTTTTCTATAAGGTTCATGCAATTGCACTTAGGCCTACTAGAACGTACCTCCTTGGCCTAACTATAGGTGAACGACCCACTTTTAGAGGTACAAATCAATAACTGTTACGTACACTCTAGAGTGAAAAGGGCGGTAAAAAAAATTCCCTTTTTAAAACAAGTGACCCAAAGAAGTAAAATTGGAAAGCAAATATAACATTCAAATATATATAGAACCTACAAAAACGAATCGGCTAGAGTTAAAGGCAGTAGATCAATTGACATAAACTAAGAGACATCAACCATACAATATAGATGTGAAGAAAATACTATTTAAATTATTAAAAGATATTTCAATTCATGTCATAGTGAAGAAGAATGAAGTTTGATGTTATAAATTTTGGGTAGATTACCATTTAGAATAATTTAGAGTTATTGTATTTCATTAATATATTTTAAGAGTTTTTATCTACTTTAGGTTACAATTATATAATGATTAATTATGGCAATAAAGTATGAATGCTACCACTCTTGGAATGCCTTTAATAGTTTCATTTTGAGGCTATATAAAACTATGTATGTTGTATTTATAAGTAGACTTAGAAAATATAGTAAAAGGAGCATTTTTGCTTTCTTTAACCAATGACTAAGTTTCTTTGCAATTTTTTATAGTTTAGGTTGCATGTAGAATCATTCAAGCTCGACATGATCAATCTTGCTTGCAGTGTGATTTGAATCTCAAACAAGTGTTCTTGCGTTGAGATATTTGATCAACAAGAATCATTCAAGCTAGACATGATTGATCTTGCTTGTGGAGTGATTCGAATCTCAAACAATGTTCTTTCCTTGAGATATTCGATCAACAAGGTAATCCGAATCTTACTTCCCTTGTAGTGATTCCTTATCATATCATCAACCTTGTCTACAATACCGTGTTTAACCCATTAAGAAATCATGCCATGAGAGTCTCCATGTCCTCATCGAGATCAGTCATCCATCAATGTACCCATTTCCTTGTAATAATCCTCCACCTACTTA